GATGCAGGCCTCCAGTCTGAACCACTGGCAAGCTCGTGTCTGCGGTAGCGGTGTCTACCTGCAACATTGCGATACCACAACTGTGCAGACCTGGCAAAAGCACAATCACACTGTCTTGTATGTTTGTATATGAGGTTGCATTGAATAATGCAATTGGATGAATAGTTTGATATATGACAGAAAAGCCACCTTAACTGGCTTTGCTGTCACGATACATCTTCCTGGCAGCTCGACCCTCATACGAGCCGGCATATCCCCTTCACAGTTGGTATCCCCTCTTAGTATCCTGGCCAGCGCTCTCGAGAAGCTCTAGGAGTTCTCTCCGTACCTGCCTGTCTTGAGACGGAACACCCACCCTCAACACCGCCTTCTCGCTGCCGTCAAATTCCACCAAAATGACAGTAGTCCATTTGTTCTTGGCAATCTCCTGCATCAGCGCAGCTACAGCAGAAACGGGTACGGTTGTGCTACATTCATCGCCGGCTTTCTGCCCAAGGTCACTGGGCTCTCTTCTTGTGTCTGGTGTGTTCGGTGCCGTCCAGTCATCCTCGGATGAGTCGTCAGGCGTAGCGGGGTGTGTGTTGTCTTTTTCGTGTCAGCAGATGCCATTGACGATACGTACGTTACTGTACCGTAGAAGAACCTACAAGTATTGACACGAGCCCTTTTCCTACTACGTTTCTGTCCCACGACTTCAACGGCCCTCTGTCGTTTCTCGAGCTCATTTTCATCGCGGAAAGACCACTCGAAGAGCTGTGTTGTCAAGTGGTCCAAAGGCGAAATGCCTGTATCGAGCGCGGAATCCATGTCGTGTGAAAAACTCAGTCAGACTGTGAGCGTGCTCCTGGAAATGATGAAGATGGTGTGCACGTATGGCTCAACAAAGATGGCGGGCTCTGTAATTTATACCTCTGCGCGGCTGGAGAACACTTGATCCCCAATCGTATTGGATGCTACCCGGGACGATGAGCTCCCTACTAAGCAATGTAACTTCTCCTTCCATCAGGGGTGTGATGTCACGTCTATTGCTGGCAGCTATCTACCTTTTCACTGGCTTCGCCTACCAATCACCTCCCTCCCTGATACCATTTCTCTCATGTTGGCGTCCCGCATCTCTCCCCTTATCATCTCACCCCACCATACTAACACCACCTTCGCATGGCGCTCTTTCTTTCTGATCGGAAAACCCCTGCGATGACCGGCCCTGGCCTACTCTCCTTTGCGTTTCGCAGCATGTTCAAGACGCCCGTCTTCGTCAGACTCACGCCGTGCTTCAACATCTCCGTGACGAGACGCACAATCACGCTCGGTGACTCTTGCAAGAACCGTGATGCGGCAGCGTCGCCGCCCCGGGACGCTACCCAGAAACAGTGCGAATACAACACGTGGAATATCTTCAACAGCTTTGGCTCTCGCGCCAACAAGCTGATCACACTCCAGTGGTCTTGTGCGTCCGCAAGACGCGCCAGCTTGCCGATAATGTCGCACAACACGGCATCGTCCATCTTGGCACCACGTCGCAGCAGGATCGACGCCATCACGGGGTTGCCGTGGCATGTGGAAAGTGCCCAGTCGAGAGTCGTCGCACCATGCGAGTCGCGCCTGTC